CGGGGTCACGCACAATGAATTACATTCGAACATTTCGGAATTCTAGCCGCATCCATTGGCTATTGGAGTCTCTCTTTGGTAATATGCCCTCTCCATGACATTAGAATTTTAGTTCGCTGCAGAGAATCCCGTGAAAAGTTAATTTTCTTATTTATTACCTAAATGCAGGTCTTAATGCAAATACTACCATTAACAATTATCGTTGTATTCGCTTTGACGACATCGATTTTTATTAAAATCTATGCAAATTGATTTGAAAATTGTTGCCAAAGCAAAATATTAATTCGATGCCGCATTGAAGATTTGCATACTAATTGATAACTTGGCGGGCTAACCACTACCAGACGGACGGCTCTAATAGGTATTTAAATGAAATTAATGTTATCAGTCGGTGCAGTGACGCACATGCTCGTGGTTTCGATATTAATATGATCTCCATTTAATTTGTGCCAATAAAATACACAGCTATGCTGGCTATTCATAACTTTTGGCTGTCGACAGAAATTATTTCCGTCAAAGGCTTTAGTTTGTTTGTCCAACTTGTGTTTTGACGAAAATTGAATAAATTAATAATTTTGTATTTCGTGTAGGCAAATTAATACATTCTCGTTATTTTGAACTACTGTCGTTCAATCCAATGCATATCCCATGGATTTAAAAAATTTCATTTGTTTCGCTTGGCCTAGCAGCATCAGCAACACCACCAGTACCAGCACCAGCTTGTGGCGCTTTTTAATGACTTTCTGCACAGCAGCAGCAACACTTTCCGTTCCATTTATTGCGAATTTCAATCTCAACATTGGCTCCGTTGATGTTATAATAAAAAGAACAATTAAAAAAATCCAAATTAACAAACAATTGTCGAAAACATAAAATCAAATGCTGAACGGAGGGAAAAGCGAACCAGAACAGGACAACGAGATAATAAAAAATAAATGTTTACAAATTGGCGAAATGTCAACAATGAAGTGCAAACTAGTAGTCGTCGGCAGGCGGCAATCGCCGATTGCATTTAATTGAATAAAGTTTGAAATTGATTTGTTAATGAATTTCCAATCGAGTGGATGGCGAAACGGGGTTTTTGCTGCAGACATGAATGAATCCTCCATCAAGGTTGATTTTTTTTTCTCAAAAAAGGGAAGAAATGTGGATTGTTGAGTGATTGAGTGACTATTTTAGAGTCTGGCTTTTATTTTTAAATTTATGCCCAAACATGAAATTCACAAATCGAGTACAGAATTATTTGTTGTCACAATGTTCCCTGTAGAATAAGATTTCAAACGATTACATCAGGTAACAGAAAAAGGAATAGTTCCGCTGGTATGAGTACAAAAATATGAGTACAAAAAGGGTTAGTTTAACACACACTCTAAAGGAATATGGTTTGGTTTTTACTTCAGCAAAATTGGGAAATATTGCGACATTACTTTGAAAATCATGGTTAAGTTGCAGAACGTATGCAAAAATTTAATTTTCGAAAGATGAGGAGGACATTTGTCGCCTGTGGGGCACCGATAACCCGCAAGCATACTTTGGGCCATTGTTTTTTCCTTATCGGGCCATGTTCAACGATTTTTTTCACAACAAGTGAAAAAGCTTTAAGTTCGGCCGGGCCGAACTTCGAATACCTACAATGTGGAACGAATTTGAAAATTTTCAAAAAAAAAAAAAAAAAAAATCCGTAAAAAATTCTATTAAAATCTTAAAAATATCGAATGCAGTCATTATATTAGGGTTTATAAGACCTGCATGGGCAAGTATTGTCATAAGCCATTACAATATTCAAATGCGAAACTTGCAAAAAATCGGTGAAAATGAAGCTAAAATCATCAAAAAATTATAGGGAGGTGACATTATATGGGGACTATACCAAAACGTGGACCTGCACAGACAACTTTTTGTCATAGGCTGTAGTATCCATTACGAATTTCAAAAACAAAATTTGAAACAATTCCGGTGAAAAATGTCCCTGAAATCATAAAAATACCGAATATCGGGAGGTGCCGTTATATGGGGGCTATACGAAGACGTGGACCTGAACAGGGAGTTTTCTGTCATTAGATGTAGTTTCCATTACGAACTTCAAATACTAAATTTGAAACAATTCCGGTGAATAATGTCGCAAAGATCATCAAAATACCGAATATCGGGAGGTACCGTTATATGAGGGCTATACGAAGACGTGGACCTGCACAGACAATTTTCTGTCATAGGCTGTAATATCTATTACGAACTTCAAATACCAAATTTGAAACATTTGCGGTGAAAAATCACCAAAATACCGAAAATAGAGAGGTGGGGGCTATACCGGACCTATATGGCCAATTTTCAATTCCAAAATTTATCAACCTACTTCATTTCGTTCGGAAGCTTGAGTGACTTCCACAGACGGATAGACGGGCGGACATCGGTAAATCGACATAGAATATATATTACATGGTGGGGTCTAAAATGTATATTTCGATGTGTTACAAACGAAATGACAAACTATATATACCCTCCATACTATGGTGGAGGGTATAAAAATTGAAGAGGAGGATATTGACAACAATTGGGTTGAATCTTTATATCCTTTTTTGTAACAAAATGTTAAAAAGTATCAATCGGTTATGCCGACAAATGTATACCCCCTTCCGATGTTCTACTGTTTAAATATATTTTGATTTGTGTTATGAACTAGAACAACTAGTTCCAAAACATTGTCTTTTTTATGTCCACATTGGTCCAATGTTTCCAAATATTGGTACCCCTAGATATTCAGTATTTTGATAACCCTAGTCACATTTATGCACGGAATTGTTAAAATTGGAATTTAGAGTCTAGGGTCAAAATGAATAAAGATAGGAAGCTAAAATTTTGCACTTCTCAGTCCTTGGTGTGCAGGCAGGTCAAGTTCGATGATGGGCTTTATCGGTCCACGATATCGTATAGCCCCCATATAACGGTAGACCCGATATCTGGTTTTTTGATGATTGTAGCCAAATTATAACGAACCTCCCTATATTCGGTATTTTGATGATTATATCTACATTTTCCAATGGAATTGTTTAAAAATCCATACTTGAAGTTCTTTTTAAGCACTAAACCCCCTGGAAAAGAAATGTATATATAGGACCACGATATCGTATAGCCCCCAATCTTCAGTTAAGATTATTCAAACTGTTGACCTTTTGGGAGGATCAGAAGCAGTTGGTTATTATTGACCAATTCGTATCTGACCTAAAACAGGTAAAAATATTACAACGTTCCAGATTTGGACTATATCGGCTACTTCCTATACTTTATATGAGATATGTGCAAATTTTATGTGGATTTATGCGTTAGGTAACAGATATAGCGGACCGATGTATTACATTTTCATACTTCAACTAATACAGATAAAAAGATTGGTATGGGCAAAATTTGAAGGAAATCGAACTGGTAAATGTATATCCAATTTTATGCGAAATCATAAATTCTATATTCATATCAGATTTCTGATTAAGGGCAATAATTAAATATAGCAAGTTGCAAAGAATCGCTGACTTGTTTCGCAGGTTTTGACAGATATAAATATTGGAAATTGTGACCCTTTGTGGTTGAGGTACCAGAAGGGGTTGGCAGATATATACCATCTTCTCAACAAAACATGCGTTCGCAAAAAGCTTTGGATGTGCAAAATCTAAGGAGAGTTGGATTCTTATTTCACTTTCTTTGAGCGTTTTGTTTTCCAAAAATCTTGAACCCTATTTACCAGAAGAAATGGTCCGATCCGTACGATCTTTATAACAGATCTTGGGTTTATGGAAATATTAAGATGTGCTGTTAATTTTGTGTTTAAAAAGCTTCATGAATATACAAAAAGTTGACCCTTTGTGGAAGAGGTACCAGAAGGAGTGGACCGAGAACAGGATGCTTACTTCGGATTTTATGATCGTTTTGGTTATTTAAAACTTTGACCCTTTGTGGGGGAGGTACCAGAACGAATGGTCCGATCTCTACCATCTTTATTACAGATCATGGCTTTATGGAAATATTAAGATGTGTCAAGTCTGAATAGAGTCGAATTTTAACTTCGCGTTTTATGAACTTCATGAATACATTCCATCCTCAAACCAGACCTTGGGTTAACAAAAATATTGTGATCTGGGTAATTTGGAGATAATCGGACTCTTACATCACATTTTATAAGAGTATAATTATTCAAAATTTTGACGGTTTGTGGAGTGCTACGTCAGGTCAGCTGACGTAGCTGATGAAATATTAGGATTTGCAAAGTTGGAGTAAAATCGGACTATTCTTTCTCTTCCTGTGCAGTATTTTTTTTTTTTTGTGAAAATTTCGACATTTTGTGTGGGAATTGCCGGATGGAATGTATCGATATTGCCCATCTTTAAACTCAATTCTAAGTTTGATAATAATATCACGATGTATCAAGTTTGGATCAAATCAGATACTCCCTTCGAGAGTTATTGTACGCACTAGCAAGTCAGGCAGACAGACGAACGGACAGACAGATCGACTCCAAATGTCCTGAAAAAGTTTTGGTCCAAAAAGACCTAGGGTCTAAAATTTAGGCAAATGTTATATACCCTCTCTAGCCATATGGCTGAGGGTATAAAAATAAGCGTTTTGAATCCAATATGTTGAAGTACACCACTGGGAAATAAATGCGAAAACTGCATGTGCAAAATGTCATATCCAGTTCAGTTTTTTTTTTATGTTTCTCATTAAAATAATTATTCCAAATAGTCATAGTTTATATTCTAGTTTAATAAAATTACCTTTTCTTCGAAGCAAAAAAAAAAAAAAGAAAAAGAAAATCCAGTTATTTGCATCATTTGCATCAATGACAGATGCCGATGAATCTGTAGACGAAACATGAATTAGGCAGACGAAACACAAATGAGCTCTGATACCAGTTTAATAAGTTTCAAATTAAGTTTCGAGGTCACAGAGATTTTTGAATTTTTGCCAAGCTAAAGTTGAAGCAAAAAATCTGAGTATAAAAACTAAAACTGATAACATCCAAAATCATAACACATTCAACCATTGATCTAATCAAGACATTGAACAACACAAAAAACCAACCAAAATGAAATTCATCGTTGTCTTCGCCGCCCTCTTCGCCGTTGCCTTGGCCGCTCCTCGTCCTGATGCTGAAGTACTTAAGAACGAATCCGATGTCGGACCCGAAGGTTTCAACTATGCGTAAGTACTACATTGAAGACTGCTCTCCCTCGCTATTACCTTCTATGTGATCGGCATTATCCTAACATTCCACAAACCCCCATTCGTTTACTTGCAGTTATGCCACCAGTGATGGTGTCGAGGGTCAAGCTTCCGGTCAGTTGAAGAACGTTGGCACTGAAGAAGAAGCTATTGTCGTCAAGGGTTCCTTCACCTACGTTGGTGATGATGGCGTTACCTACTCTGTCAACTATGTTGCTGATGAAAACGGTTTCCAACCCCAAGGCGCTCATTTGCCCGTTGCCCCCGAAGCTTAAGTTGTTGTTTCAATGCATTTTTTAATTGTTAAGTAATAAAGTTGTTTGTTCGATAAACTTCAAAACATTTTTGTTAGTATTATTGACATAGGTCAATGATCAACACGATGAAACATTTTATATGTGCGAGATTTTCACACCTTCCCACATTGGGATGAAAGTCAGGAGTAATTGTTGGAAGTCTTTAAAAATGAGGTTTAAATGAAAAATAAAACAAGTAAAAAGTATCAGTCGGATTTTCCGACAGATGTATACCCTCAGCCAAAGATCGAATATAAAAATATATTTGCACTTCTGTTATTATTATTCAAATTGTTGACAGAAAAAAATCGAACATATATATTTATTGATCTCAGGTTTATATATATATCAAGTTGTAAAAAATAGTTGACTAATTTCGCAAGTCATGACAGATAAAAGTATGAAAGAGGCGACCCTTTGTGGGTGAGGAACCAGAAGGGATACGCAGAAATATATGGTCTTGAGAACAGATCTTGTGTTAGCAAAAATGTTTGTGTGTGTAAAATTTGAAGAGTTTGAGTTGGACGCTTATTCCGCTTTGTTTTGTTAATGGAAATATTGAGATACACCAAGTCTGAATGGAATCGGATGTTAATTTCGCGTTTTATGAGCTTCGTGGATATTCTAAATTTTCACCCTTTGTGGGGGAGGTACCGGAAGGAAAAGTCCGATTTCTACCATCTTAATAACAGATCTTGAGTTAATACAAATATTGAGATGTGCCAAATTTGAATGAAATTAAATATTCATTTGACGTTTCATGAGCTTCTTAGATATTCAGACATACCAGACATTGGGTTAATAAAAATGTTCTGATGTGTGTAATTTGATAGCAATCGAATACTTACATCACACTTTATAAGAGTTAAAATTACTCAAAATGTTGACCTTTGTGGGGGATGTACTTGATGGAGTGGACCTATACTGTCCATTTTCGCACCTGACCTAGCACTGATGCAAATATTGGGATTCGCAGAGTTGGAGCAAAATTGGCTTATCCTTTCTCTTACTCAGCAGTAAAATATATTTCTTTTTGAAAATTTCGACTTTTTGTGGGGTAGGTACCAGAAGGAGTATACCGACATATTCCATCTTAACACAAGATTGTGGGTTAATAAAATTAATGGGAGGTGTGGAATTTGAAGACAATCAAAATCTTATATCACATTTTATAAGCGTTATAATTTTTCAAAATTTTGACCCTTTTGTGGGGGAGGTACTAGATGGAGTGGGCCGATATTGTCCATTTTTGCACCTGACCTAGAACTGAGGCAAATATGAGGATTGGCTAAGTTGGAGCAAAATTGAATTATCCTTTCTCTTTCTGTGCAGTTAAATATGTTCTTTGAAAATTTCAACCTTTTGTGGGGAAGGTGCAAGAAGAAGTGGACCGATATTGCCCATCTCACCGAACTCGATATAAGTTTGATAACAATATTGCGATGTACCAAATTTGAACCAAATCGAATACTCCCTTCGGATATTTATATTGCACGTATACTATGAATACATTAATATTTTCTGCACTATAAAGGGTTTCTTTTCGAAAACAAATTATTTTAATCGCCTTAAGGTATGTTATAAATACGGTTAACAGAAATATAGAAAAAGTAGCTTTACAGAGGATTGTAACATAATGTATGCTCGTATACCACAGATAGGTCGCGTCAGACCACAAAACAAACAGAGGCATAGACTAATGAAAATATAGACGAAGAAATGATCTCACCGTTTCTCACCGAAAAAATACGAATCAGCGGATGTCGTCTATATCGTTTCAGGGGTTTGAGTGAGAATTTTGAATACACTCAATTCTAAAATGTCAAACATATCATAAACTGTAGGATATTTGTCATTTAAAAATTGTTCTATGATAAAAGATAAGTGAAAACTACTCGTACGTGATGACATCGAAAAATACGGGAATAATCAACTTAAATTCTTGAAGAATAAAATGAAATGTGTGATTCCGAGTCGAGTAGGTCGAACACGTTAATCAGCATGTTGACTATGCAAAAGCGTGCTGAGAGCCACTTGGATAGAAAGACAAAACTATCTTTTGGTTGTCTATACTCGTATCTTCATTATTCTATGACAAATGTTGTGAGTTCGAGCCCCGTCTTCAGCAAAAGAAGAAAAATATAATAAATTACGAGAAGTGCTTGGTGTAGATGTATGAATTGAAAAAACCCTCAATATTCTTGACCGTTGAGAAGGGCGTTTCCCTACAACTCATAAGGTGGCGAGTTCAATACCAGCAGTCGGCAAAGCAAATTATTGGCCGAGAATAACTACATAATTCGGGCGACATGGTCTAATGCATTAGTTGGTTGATTTTAAAGAATTTAAGATTGCCAAAAATTGAGTACGAAACCGATTGTTTGGGGCACAATTCCAAATAAGCTTTTGAAATTTTGAATTTTACTGACAACAAGTTAAAAAGTATCAGTCGGTTTAGCCGATAAATGTAAACCCTCATCCAATGTTCAATTATTTAAATATATTTTGTCTTCTGTTATGATTATTCAAATTGTTTACCCCTTTATGTACGTGAATGTGCGTGAGGTTTCAGATATAGTCGACCGAAGTATTTCACTTTCTTAATTCATCTAATACAAATAAAAATATTGGAATGGACAAAATTACAGGAAAACCAAACATTTATATCCAATTTTATGCGAAATCATATCTTCCGATAAATTCCATATTCATATAAGGTTTCTGGAAGAGAGAAATATTTAGATATAACAAGTTGTAAAGATTTCGTTTCCTTTCAGCGTTTTGTTTTTCAAAATCTTGAACCCTATGTGGGGGAGGTATCAGCCATATGGCTAGGGAGGGTATATATCATTTGATATGGCCAAACCGTGCCTCTTTGGACCAAATTCGTTTCATGACATTTGGAGTCGATCTAGCGATGTCCGTGCGTACGTCTATCTGGTGCGCTCGATAACACTCGAAGGGAGTATCGGATTTGGTCCAAACTTGGAACATCGTAATATTATTATCAAACTTAGATAGAGTTCGGAGATGGACAATATCGGTCCACTCCTTCTGGTATTTCCCCCATATATGGTCGAAATATTCAAAAAAAATATTTTACTGCCCAGAAAGAGTAAGGATAATCAGACCTTGTTCCAACTTTGCAAATCCTAATATATGCATCCTAATATATGCGAAAACGGCCAATATCGGTCCACTCCATCAAGTACCTCCCCCACAAAGGGTCAGAATTTTGATAAATTATAACTCTTATATTATAATATGTGATGTTATAGTCCGATTGTCTTCATATTACACAAATCACAATATTTTTAATTACCCAACATTTGTTGTGAAGATGGAATATATCGGCCCACTCCTTCTGGTACCTCTCCCACAAAGGGTCAAAATTTTGAATATCCTTGAAGCTCACAAAACGCGAAATTAACATCCGATTCTATTTTCCATTTGGTACACATCAATATTTCCACCAGCACAAGATTCGGTATAAAGATGGTAGAGGTCGGACCATTCCTTCTGGTACCTCCACCACAATGGGTCAACATTTCAATAATTATGTCTCTCATAAAAAGTTGAATGAACGACCGACTCTATTAAAATTCCTTCTCTTTAAATTTCACACATCCTATTATTTCTACCAACACAAGATCAGTTACAAAGAAGGAGGAGATTGGACCACATCTTCTGGTACCTTCCCCACAACGGGTCAACATTTGGAATAATTATATCTGTCATAAAATTACTCCTTTAAAATTTCGCACATCGTAACATTTCCATTAACACAAGATCTGGTGTGAAGATTAGATATATCGATCTTTTCCTTCTGGTACCTCCCCAAAGAGGGATCAAACGAATGCGAAATAATCTTTTCAAACTTCACACATTCCAATATTTCTATTAATACAAGATATGGAGTGAAGGTGATAGATATCGGCTTACCCCTTGTGGTACCTCTCCCACAAGCGACCACTATTTTAAATACTTAAATCTCAAAAAGTTAGAAATGTCGAAATGTTAGTCTCAATATTAGCAAATACATTTCACATTTCTAAAAATAACATTACAAGAATGTCTCATCGGTCAACTTTTTTTCGTTTATTTGTTTTTTTTTTTTTTTTTGTCTGATCTAAACGCCAAATTTTTGACAGTAGCTCAGCAAGAGTCTATCCAAAACCTTCCGGGTGATCTACTTCTATGCAAATGGAAAACAGGTCTCAATAAATATTTCTATCATCACAGACAAAACTCTCCGAATGTCTGATATGATATTTCTTGTCCGCCCCAGAGGTTTGTGCCGTCAAAGTCTCATGGAAACGCTTAGTCTCGTCTGTGCCGATCACAATGACCTTTTGTCTAATTTAATCAAATCACATTTAAACTGGTTTATCAATCACTTTGTCAAATTCTGCTCTAATACTTGTCATAAGCGTCTTCGATTCACATCTCAAATTCACACCTACAGTTTGTTGTTATTTTATCTTAATTAATATTCAATCACACGCGGTGATGCTGATACTATACCGTATTGATACCTCACATTTTAGACATTGTTTTACTGATCATTAGTCTATTATGATGTTTTGGATTTTGTGGAGATTCTATCAATCTGTATTTTTATCTTTTAAACACACACACACAAGTTTAGAGTTTTAAAGTGTGTACAGATGTTAGATATGGAAGAGCAATTTTATATGATAGATAGGTAGCGATACATAATTCCTAATTCTAAAACATATCGTTTAATAAATTACCACGATGAACGGTAAAGAGTACAAGAATCTCTTCGGACAGTTAAAAGAAGTTGAAAAGTATCTGCGGTTGTGCCAAAAGATGAATACCCTCAGCCAATGTTCGATTATTTAATAAAATGTTGACTTCTTTTATGATTACTCAAATTGTTGAACCTCGTAGGAATGGGTTCCGAAGGAATGGTCCAATATTGTCAATTTCGTATCGAACCTAAAAAAAAGATTGTAGTAAAATTCAATGAAGATTAAACAATGTCCAATCGGTTAAAATCTGTGGCCTAGAAGGTACTGTTATATGGGGACTATACCAAAATATGTACCTACGTGTAAAACGGTTGTTTACTCCCAAAGTTAGGCTACACACATTTCTAGCGAAATTGATTGGGCAATGTGGACAAGACCCTCGAAGTAAGTAAAATCAGGAAGTACATTGAATTTTTTTGTGAAGAGGTCTTCTACACCTCTAGAAACCAGGATGCCAATACCAATACGTAGGTCTATATTTATAATTTTTAAAATGACGTTTTCCGTTTGTTTTTTTTTTCTAAAAACTCAAATTACTAAAAAATTACCATGTATAAAAATACGACTACCCTCACAGGGTGAGACGAAACTGCAACCAATTTCAGACTGCTGTAATTTCTAAGCCACTCGTCCGACAGCTGTTAAAATTATTACAGTAACAGCTCATTATATTGTTTACAAGCGTACAAAAGCATTTTGGTGAGAATATTCCAGGAAAAAAGTTTATTCGTGATGGAATTGAAGCCACAAGTGGAAAACCACAAGTGGCTACCGCTAAAGCACTTCAACATTTAAATGTTAATAAATCTTTTGTGTCTTGTACCATAGCTCATTACCGTGATACTGGTAGCGTAGCCCGACGTCAAAGAAGTAAACGGAAGAAAATAGCAACATCAGCAGAAATGTTTCGAAAAGTAAAGAGACGATTTGATCGAAACCCGCGTCGCAGTGGCCGAAAAATGGCTCGTTAGCTGAACATATCGCAATATTCCATTCGGCAAATATTTTAAAATGAGCTGGGGTAAAGCCATTGAAATTCCAAAAAGTGCAAGAACTTAGACCGCAACAGAAAGAAAATAGACTCAAAAGAGCTAAAGAGCTGCTTCGCTTGGCCGAAAGTGTTGAACTGCCGAATTTGGTTTTGTTCGATGAGGAAACATTCGTTGTCCAGCAGTAAACAAACAAAATGATCGTGTTTACTTGTCAAAGAGGTCAGCTGAAAATGTGCACCTTCGGTTGACCACCAGGACTCAAGCGCCGGCCATGGTGATGGTGTGGGCCGCCATAACATCCGATGGTCGCTCTCCGCTCGTATTAATCGACCTCAGAATAAATGTCGAATATTGTCTCGAAAATATTCTGGGCAGGCAAATATTGTGGCCGCAGACCTTGGACATTCCAACAGGACTCAGCACCATCGCACTCAGCACGCGCCACCCAAGAATGGCTACAAAATGAGGTTTCTCGGTTCATTTCCAGCGCGCATTGGCCACCAAAATCTCCTGATACCTATCCGTTGGAATGTTTTGGAAAGCAAGTAAGCGCTTCGCCGGGAATGGGCCAAAATACCGCAGAGCAACATTCGGGCAGCGTGTGACGGTTTCATTGGCCGTTTGAAGGTCACAATTCAATTCGGCCAAAGGTGACCAATTCGAAAAAATCTAAACTTATTCTAAAATTTGATGCTATTTCCGATATTTTTTTGCTTTAAGTCAATAAAATTAAAAAAAAAGAGTAAAAATTATGGCGTTTGACTTTGTTTTAGTTTATTTATCTCACCCTGTATATACTTTGAGGGGTCTACAATTTATATTTCGAGATGTTACAAAGGGAATGACAGACTTAATAACTTCCATACTATGGTGGGCAATGCGTGAAATTTTCATTTAAATTGATATTAGGGTCCACATGATCGGCCCCGAACGTGAAATAAAATCTTTAGGTAGACCAAACCAACTAGGAACCTTATTTGATTTCAGTGGGAACTATTATATGGGAGGTACATCCAATTCAAAATTGATTTTCAATACATTTTGACTTAGACATGTTTATCTTTTATAACAAATAATAACATAACCAAATAACATTGCGTGATATCACTTAAAAAGCATATATATCGGAGCCAAGTTCCGTCAAATGGAAAAATTAGGTTGGATGTAAAAAAATCTATTCAATTTTGGCTGATATAACATATATGGTGAATCGATTGAAGATATATTTGGACATTTGGCGGAGGAAATTTGGAAATTTGGTATTTCAGAACTGTATCTGATCTGAACCGATTTTCAAATATGAAGTACTTCTTTCTAGGCAGAACTTGGTTGGATGTGCCAAAATTTATCCTATTTGGACGAATATTACAAATTTAGCGCACAATAAAATTGAAATCGAGCGAAGATATTTGTGGGAGTTGTATCTAAAGTTGGACCCATTTTCATCAATTTCAATAGGGTTCGTCCTTAGGTCAAGCAAATTATGTATGGAAAATTTCATCTCAATCGGTCAATAAATGCGACCTGCATTTTGTTCACAAAAATATATGTGGGCGGACATGTATCAATCGATCCTCAAAAGTAACTATGGGTCTATTTCGTTGCCTTCTCCAGGTTACAAACAAACGTATAAAGCTCCTGACCGCAGTGTGGTGTGTAGGGTATAAAAATTATGTTATACTGTGAAACCACCTCGATACAATTTGTCTTTCTGTTGAGCATTCCGAATTACAAAGAGAATAAATCGAATTTCAAATGGATAACATTGAATCACAAAATTGAACGTTTCAAATTACAAACAATTTAATTTGAATTTAAAATTAAATGATTCAAATCATAAATGGGAAAATTCAAATTTAAACTGAAATGAAAAATGAAATTACAATATTCCTTAACAACGTTTTTATGTCTCTCTCATTTAAATAACAAGACCAAAGATTGAAAGGTTTTTGTTTTGTGTTCGAGAAAAATAGGCTTGTTTGTAATAATTTTTGAGAATACGAGTTATGCGATAATAACGAATTTTAAATGAGCTCAGATTACATTAAATTTGAATAGAAGTCTGAGTATAAAAACTAAAACCGATAACTTCCAAAATCATAACACATTCAACCATTGATGTAATCAAGACATTGAACAACACAAAAAACCAAGCAAAATGAAATTCTTCGTTGTCTTCGCCCTCCTCTTCGCCGTTGCCGCTGCCTTGCAAGATATCCGCCCTCGCAAGCCTCTTGTTGAAATACTTAATCTCGAATCCGATGTCGGACCCGAAGGTTTCAACTATGCGTAAGTAGTAAATCTAAGACTAAGTGATTGGCATAATCCTAACATTCCACAAACCCCCACTCATTTACTTGCAGTTATGCCACCAGTGACGGTACCGAGGGTGAAGCTTCCGGTCAGTTGAAGAACGTTGGTACTGACGAAGAAGCTCTTGCCGTCAAGGGTTCCTTCACCTACGTTGGTGATGATGGCGTTACCTACACTGTCAACTATGTTGCTGATGAAAACGGTTTCCAACCCGAAGGCGCTCATTTGCCCGTTGCCCCTGAAGCTTAAGTTGTTGTTTCAATGCACTTTTTTAGTTGTTAAGTAATAAAGTTGTTGTTTTTTCAACAAACTTAAAAATACAACAATAGCTTTTTAGATTCAACATTTTTCAAAAATTTGAGCCTTCGGTACTTTATCTATTTTTGTAGAAATATAAGATTACACAATGGGGGCCTCATGGAATTGGCAATTCTAGATATATAATGTTTAGTCATTGTTTCAGAATGAGCCACCAATCAGTTATACAGTTTCTCTCCTATCCAACTTGCATTCGTCATTTGGGTATAAAAAGTAGTCAAAGGAGTTGTTTTTAATTAACTCGTGGAGAGAATATCCCCGGATAAAAACTAAAATCACCGGGGCAAGTTCGTTCCAGGGCATTTGGAGTCGATCTAGCGATATCTGTCAGTTCGTCTGTCTGTTTGGCTGGTGCGCACGGTAACTCTCGAAGGGAGTATCCGATTTGGTCCAAACTTGGTGCATCGTAATATTTTTGTCAAACTTAGATGGAGTTCGGAGATATGCAATATCGGTCCACTCCTTCTGGTACCTCCCCCACAAAATGTCGAAATTTTGAATATTCATTAAGCTCAAAATATGCGAAATAAGCATTAGGTTATCTATATATTTCACACATCCCATAATTTCTACTAACACAAGCTCCCTTGTGAAGATGGGATATATCGGTCCTCTCCTTCTGGTACCTCCCTCACAAAGGCTCAAAATTTTGAATATCCATGAAGCTCATAAAAAGAGAAATCAACGTCCGATTCCATTCCAGACTTGGCACATCTGAATTTTTCCATCAACACAAGCTATCTGCCCCACATAGGGTTCAAGATTTTGAAAACAAAACGGTCAAAGAAAGTGAATTAAGCATCCAATTCTCTTCGAATTTCGCACACACACACACACACACACACAAATTTTGCTAACACAAGATCTGTTGTGAGAATGAAATATATCTGCGCATCCCTTCTGGTACCTCACCCACAAAGGGTCACAATTTTCAATACTTTTGTCTGTCATAACTTGCGAAACAAATCAGCGATTCTTTAAAACTTGGTATATCTAAATATAAATGTTCAATTTTCTTGTAATTTTACCCGTACAATATTTTTATGTGTACGATATATATATATATATATATATATATATATATATATATATATATATATATATATATATATATATATATATATATATATATATATATATATATATATATATATATATATATATATATATATATATATATTTATTTATTTAGAAATAGACAATATTGGCCCATTCCCCCAGAACCCACTCCATAGAGGGTCAACAGTTTAAATAATCATAACAGAAGTCAAAATATATTTAAATAATCGAACAATGGCTGAGGATATACGTCTGTCGGCAGAACCGATTGATACTTTTAAACTTGTTTTTAATTGAATTTCGGCTGAAATCAAGTAAAAAACTTACGTTTGCATCCAAAGTTTCAATGAAAAACATACCTGAAAATAAAAAAATCTGGTATTAATGTTTATGTAAACGTAACATTATGTATTTAATTATTTTTCTGTTAAAGTTTAATGAATAATTATTTTTTTATACCCTACAACACTATGTGTTGGGGTATTATAAGTTTGATTCGGCAAAAAATTATGTAATACCTCGAAATATTGATTTCCCACATAGGAAAGTATATATGGATCTTCCTATCTCGCCGAGCTGAGTCGATCTAGCTATGTATGTCCGTCCGTCCGTCTGTCCATGTTAAATTGTAATCACTCTACAGATCGCAATTATGGCCCGATCTTCACGAAATTTAGAATGGAGGTGGGGCTAGGGTCAGAATAGAACCCTATTTCTTTTGGATATGACCGCATAATATTTAGGGATTGAAATGGACCAAAAACTAAAAAAAATCCTGATTTGCAGTTGCTCTACAGGTCGCAATTATAGACCAATCAAAGCGGAAGTTAGCACGGGGCTAGAACTTAGGGCTGGGCAGAAGCCTTCCAATTTTGATGGTCATCGGGTAATAGTTAGTGTGTGAAATAGGCCACAACATTTGTGTTAAATAAAAGTAAAATTTTCCATTAAACCGCGAATATTTTTAATCCCGGCGAAATCGCAAATACACGAACAGGTCAATTCTGACCGTTAAGTAGATGCCAATAGTAAATATATCGGATATATAATGCGTAATATATACAAAGGAAGGGGATGTTAGTTAGAATGTTTATATCTCAAGAATGGCTGGACCGATTTTGACAAATTTTGTCAATTCAGAATGCCCCCTTGACATAAAAGTATGAAATCTAAGAAAATCGCAGAAAAATATGCCAATAATGATGTTAATATAGATTTTGTAGTATTTTGTGACATTTTTTTATTTTTTCATATTTTTTATCGCATGCGATTTTTTCAATATGACTTATAATATTTTGTAATATTTTTTCACCTTACAACACAGGTTGGGGCTATTATATAAGGATTACAAATATCGTCCGATCCTAACGAAAATTTTCACAAGGGTAGGGGGCTCAGAAGGGCTATGCCTATTGTTTTCAAAGATGTCCGCAATATATTAGGGGCTGAAATGGACCAACCACTTAACATTTTCCTGATTTTGCAGCCGTTATAAAGGTCACAAATAGAAACCAAAGGGCACGAAATCTCGCACAAAGTTAGAGTTTAGGACAGTGGGCAGAATGGACCACTACTTTTGTGTGAAAAAATACCAACATTAATTACAGGCGATATCCGAAATACACAATAGGCGAACTTCTGGCTTTTTATTCTGATTTCGTTGACGAATATAGCCAAATATCGTAGACAAGCAAATCATACAGATGAGTCTAAATTTGGAGACACAGAAGGGCCTCTTCTTTTGGAGATGATCGCAAAATATTAAGGGGTTCAAATTAACCAAAAACAGAAATGTTTTTCCGATCACACAATTGAAGCCAATCGACACGCCTGTGAAGAGAGTTAAGAAGAGGGAAGAATTCTAGAATTTTGGATGACCATTGGATTATATTTAGCTGTAAAATGGACTACACAACTAACAGCACGACGGAGTGCATAAATATTGGACAAATGTCCCTAGTCAAAATCCTAATTTCAAAAGCGAAATCTTCCACTATGGATTTGGACATAAGGGGGCTTCTAACATATTGTAGTGTTGTAGGGTATAATATAGTCGGCCCCGCACGACTATAGCCTTTGCTTACTTGTTTTTTTTAATTAGTTTTAACTTTTCCTTGATTTTCAGCTATTTTCTGTTTTTTTTTTGGCTGTGAATGTGTCTACGGGTGCATATAGACCCATACAGGCTTAAGCCACTAGATCTATTAGAACCAAGTAACTCTTTAAAACGTACTTTTAGACTTCTTTTATTTATTGATATATTAGAAAAATAACACAGCCGAATTCCATTAGCACACACTTTTGAGGCTTCCTAAAATTTCGCTAAAATCGGATTTTCACTGAGAGCTGTAAACTAAACTTCAACCATAGACAAATGAAGGTATAGACTAAAAAGTTTTAAAATTCACCCCTTCCGGCAGATGTCACTATGGTTGATCTTGGGCCAGTTAAGTCACTCAGGGCTAGTGAAGTCACTCGACTTCGAAAACAATTTATTCATTTTTTTGATATTTAAGTTCCATATTTTTATATTTTACGACATATTTGGATAATGTAAAAGTAAACAAGGTCACTGTTTTGTTTTCAATTGGTAAATAATAAATAATCATGAAAATAATCAATATTTTGTATTTTGAGAGAATTGAGTGATTCTACTGAACCTCTCTCACAGCATTAACGACATCTATTGAAGCACTTTTTTCGAAGATAACAGATGAGACAACTTTTTAGTCTATACCTAATTTGTCTATGCTTCAACTAGTAACAAGTTAAAAGCCAATGTTCGATTATTATTCGATTAATATTCAAATCGTTAACCCTCTTCGGAGTAGGCTCCGAAGGAATGGTCAGACCTAAGAAAAAATTATATAAATATTGCGACGTGCCATGTTTGGACTATATTGGTTAATTTCATCACTTTATGTATATGAGATTGTTAGAAAATGTTAAAATGTGCGTAAAGTACCAGATATAGTCGACCGAAGTATTCCATTTTCATACTTCATTTAAAACAGATACAAATATTGGTATGGGCAAAGTTACAAGAAAATCGAACATTTAAATCCAATGTTTTCCAAAATCATAAGTTCCATATTTATCTCAGGTTTCAGATCCAATGTTATGCAAAATCACAAGTTGCAAATTCATCTCAGGTTTCTGGTAGAGAGGAATATTTAGTTGTAGAAAGTTGTAAAGAATCGCTGACTTGTTTCGCAAGTTATGACAGATAAAGGTATTGAAAATTGCGACCCTTTGTGGCGGAGGTGCCAGAAGGGGTTCGCAGATATATATCATCTTCACAACAGATCTTGTGTTAGCAACAATGTGTGTGCGTGTGAAATTTGAAGAGAGTTGGAAAGTTTCTGATTTCGCTTTCTTTGAGCGTTTTGTTTTGCAAAAACCTCTGTGGGGAGGTACTAGAAGAAATGGTACGATCTCTACCATCTTTATAACAACATCTGTTGTGTTGATGAAAATATTGAGATGTGCCAAGTCTACATGGAATTGGATGTTAATTTCGCGTTTTATGAGCTGAATCAGGTACTTGTGTTAGTTGAAAAAATGGAATGTGTGGAATATGAAGAGAACTGGATGTTTATTTTGGATTTTTTGATTGTTTTAGTTGTTCAATACTTTGACGCTTTGTGGGGGAGTTACCAGAAGTAATCGTTCTATCTCTACCATCTTTATAACAGATTATGTGTTGATAGAAATATTGAGATATGGCAAGTCTGAATGGAATCGGGTGTTAATTTAACGTTTTATGAGCTTTGTGAATATTAAAAATTTTGACCCCCTGTGTGGGGGAGGTACCAGAAGGAGTGGACCGATATATTCCATCCTCACACCAGACCTGGGGTTAATAAAAATACTGTGATATGTGTAATTTAAAGGCAATCGTGGTGCTACTTGATGGAGTGGACCGATATTGTCCATTTTCGCA